TCCAGGCTGGCATAAACGTGCAGCTGGGTGGTGATGCAAGCCTGTAATCTCAGCATTCAGGAGGCAGAAGGAGAGGATTAGAAGTTCAAGGCCATCCTTGGCCGCACAGTCGGGTGCAGCCTGAGCTACAGGAGACCCTGTCTCCAAAAGGAAAACCCCTTGAAATGTGTGGAGCCGAAGGAAAACATTCCAGCATTTTTAGCATGCCGATCTCAGTCTCTTTATTTCTTTGTATTCTGAGAAGGCAGGAACCTGGCATTGAACATTTACATTTCCTTTCTGCCTCTGTGACAGTGACATCAGGGTGTCCGGCACTAGCTCTTTGTTAAAGAGAATTCCCTGACTGAACATGGATCTTAGCTGCAGAGTGGTTGCCTTGTGGCTGCATGAGGTTCTGGACTCAATCTGGCACCAAACACAAAAGCGAGCAATATCAGTTAGGTGTGATGGACCAGCACTTTGATTCCAAGTCTTGGAAGCTGAAGGCAAAAAGACCAGAGGGCAGGCGGCCTTGGTTCTGGAAGGACTCTCTGGGTTCTTGGCATTGCTTTAAACTGACTCTGAGCTCAGCCTCTCCGGGAAGCTGTTCACAAATGCAGCTTCGCCCATAAAGCCCTGTTTTCTCCTCAAGTCTAGGTATGTTTGCTGTGCTTATGAAGCTCTCCAAGCCCAGCAGGTCTTCTGCTGGCTCAGTGTCCCGTTTAAAGCAGTTGTGTCTGTAAGCCCCTCCAGGAGAGTGGCTAGCCCCGCTCCAGACTTCTCTGGCTGTGTTACAGCTCTGAGAAGAAAAACTTCCCCAAAGCAAGCGTTAGAGCTCTGCAGGGGGCCGGGGTGGTGGTGGGACTACCTGCTAGCAGCCTCAAGGAGTCAAGCCTGACCCCCAGGTCTCCAGGGGCAGGGCTTGCAACAGGTATCTTCCAGCAGCAGGAAAGCCAGACCTGCCACCCAAATTGGCATGAATAGCCAACACAGTCCCTGCTCTACAGGAAAAAAAAAAAAAAGCCCAAGACGAGGGCACAAAATCCCACCAATCCCTGAGTTTGCCCCAAGATCAGGCCATGTAATCCCTCCAATCCAAGGCCACCCTGGAAAGCCCCCACACGAGAAACCCTATATAAAGCCTGCCTCCTGCTCAGTTCTTTGCTGTTTCTCCCCCAAGTAGAGGCATCCACTCTCCTGTGTCCCTACCAATAAATCTCTTGTATGAGGTTTGTTGTGTTGTGTGACTTTGTGGTATTCCTTGGTGTAAATGGAAGTTTCTGTCCCACCAGCAACTCCCAAATACCCATCAGCCACTTATCAAATTACCACCTAGAGGCTTATATTAATTATAAATGCTTGGCCGGTGACTCAGGCTTGTTACTAGCTAGTTCTTACACTTAAATTAACCCATAATTCTTATCTATGCTTTGCACATGTTTTGTGACTTGTTACCTCATTTTCTACATGTCTTGCTTCCTTGGTGGCTGGCTGGCATCTGCTCAACTCTGCCTTTCTTCTCTATGTTCAGTTTGATTGTACAGCCTAATCTTATTCTGCCTCACCATTGGCCAAACAGCTTTACTATCAACCAATGAGAGCAACACATATTCACAGCGTACAGAAGGACATCCCACAGCACCCTGGCTTCTGACTGTCAGGATGACTTTCTCTTCAGAGCTGTAACACTCACGGGCACTTTGGCTAGATGGGACTATGGCGCATGGAACGTCACAATACACAGCATTGGAACAGCCTCTAGGGTGTCTCTGCTTTCTCAAGGCTCTGTTAGACTTGGGGAGGCTCAAAAGCTGCCCATTGTCCTTGACTCACAAGACTTGGAAGCCCTCCTGGAGACTATTCAGCCACAGTGGTGACTTAAGGGACTGGAGCAGGACAAGGTTGAGAGTGAAGGAACTCAGCTTCTGGACCAAGGGCTGCTGAGGGGACATGTACGGAGGCAAACAATTAGCTTCGGTTCAAAGACTGCACTGGTAGCTGGCTAAGGACAATGTTTAAAGAAATAGAGGCTACACCCGGACCCCTCCTGAACTTGGCCATGGAGGAAAAGTCAATTCCTAAGGAGGTAGGGACAGCCTCACCTCTAGAAGATGTGCCCCTGCTCCCCAAAGGGTCCGTAGAAAGAGGCAGGAGATGGGTTGGGAGATGGTTCAGTGGTTAGCATGCTCACCACACAAGCATGAAGACCAGAACTGAGACCCTCAGAACCCATGTAAGTGTGGCTGAGGAATGGTATCGTACCGGTAATTACAGTGTTCTGTGCAGACAGGATCCTCAGAGTCCAATGAAGCTAGACTAGTCTTTATCTGTGAGCTCTAGATTTAGTTAAGAATACAAGGGCTGCTGAATTGGCTCAGCAGTTAAGAGTACTTGTTACTCTTGCAAAGGCCCTGAGTTCAATTCCCCAGCACTACATGGCAGCCCATAATTTTCTTTAGCATAGCAGTGGTGGCGTACACCGTTAGTCCCAGCACTCGGGAGGCAGAGCCAGACAGATCTCTGAGTTCGAGGTCAGCCTGGTCTACAGAGCAAGTTCCAGGACAGGCACCAAAGCTACACAGAGAAACCCTGTCTCAAAGAAAAAAGAGAATTCAGAGTTCAACCGAGAGACTCTGCCTCAATATATACAGTGGACATAGATTAAGAGTCTCCGTCTGGGTAAGATTGTCAGGACACGCCTTTAATCCCAACACTCAGGAAGCACAGACAGGTGGATCTCTATGAGTTTGAGGACAGCCAGGGCTGTGTACTGAGACTCAGTGTCTTTTTTTTTTTTTTTAAATGTGAATTGATGTTTTGCCTGAATCTATGTCTGTGTGCAGATCCCAGGTCTCCTGGAGCTGGAGTTACAGTTGTGAGCTGCCATGTGGGTTCTGGGAATTGGACTTGGGTCCTCTGGAAGAGCAGCCAGTGTTCTGTTCTTTTCTTCTTCTTCTTTTTTTTTTTTTTGGCTTTTCAAGACAGGGTTTCTCTGTGTAGCTTTGCGCCTTTCCTAGAACTCACTTGGTAGCCCAGGCTGGCCTCGAACTCACAGAGATCCACCTGCCTCTGCCTCC